TATTTGTATGAGCAATGTACTACTTCCACAAAGTGTTCCAATCGTCACGATTTGTTCCACTTCATGACCTATCGAAAGCTTTGGAGAAACAATGGAAATTCTGCCGCCCATACACTCACTGACTCGGTGTTATACGAGGAGTAAATTTGGAACAAAAAACTCTGCTCTTACACAAGTCGAAGAGTGTGCATACCTTATACAAGATTTTGGAAAGGAACAATATGATTCAAAAAACAAAATACTTGACAAGAGTACTCTGAGCAAAGGCTTAAGTAATAACATGAAGAAGTATCACCAAATGAAAAAGCATCTTCGAGTGTTTCTCTGCATATTAAAAGAGCATATTTACAAGCTGCTCGGCGGAAGAGTAAAATGAATCAAGGTAGATGCCAAATATTATTGAACACAGTCTACCAAATGACTTTCCGCACCCATGCTCTTGCAAGACTTGCGGATTTGAAAAGAAGTGTGTATGCAGATTAAACCCTATCTCATGGCCTAACTTTGCAAATGTGGTTCATCGACCAGTTGGAAAAATACTGTTCACTATTCAAATACGTATCTAATCTTAATAAAATATTTTTCTGATCATTTATTGTCTTTTATTAAAATACAAATTTATAATATTCTCATATACAATTTGAAAAGCGTTAAAGACGCTAATTTATGAGTGGCGCAGCCACGAGAGAATTAACTTTCACGAGATGGTTAGCTTTCGTTTATGGTCATGTATAAAACAAAGTTTATTTTATAGCAAAAACCATATAAATCATTATAGAGCTTTTGAAAATTCTGAATTTAATTTAAACGTCAACCATAGTAAGCTTGTCATGCTTCTCTGTTCTGAACTTGATTTTATTTCGCGCTCCTCGTTCCATTTTTAATAAGAATGACAGATGCCATTAGAATGTACAATCCTTTGTTTCATTTTATCTACCCTTACCGTTGAAGTGATCACTTTATCTACCCTTGATAAAAATGATCTATATGGATAAGGAAAATATCCAAAACACAAATTTGTTGTACACATCTCCGTCTCTATAGCCCCTGGACTAAAGTTCCACATATTACCTAATCGATGTATTGCATGTCGTTTTCCGTAACTCTCCTCCCGCTCCCACACATTCATTTTCTAATTAGAAAATTTTAACACGACGTTTGAAATTACGAATAAAATGAATAATGAGGCATCTTTAGCCCATTATTACATTTTCCACCTACTTAGCATCCTGTAATTAATGTCCACCCTTTTGGTCACTCCGTAATCGCTAATTAATAAACGATACGCCTTTTTTCAGGATTAGATGTTGACGGTATCGTACGTGAATTTGATTGATTGACCACACCTTGTGTCGGCATTCATTTTGAATGTGCCGGTATACGCGACTTTATTTCAATTCGACGAGCAAATATTGATTTTGGAGCATTGTTTATTCAAATTTATGAGCTAATTTAATCCGCATACGCATATTATTTAATAATCAAAACCCGTTATAACAAAATTTAATTATTCTGGTTGTCCTGTGAGATTTTATGGCGCTTAATACGATGACGTCATTTGCACCATGGCAAATGTTGCGGTTTAAATTTTGAACTGATGGTCGCATGAAAACTATTTGGGAATGACGCCGTTCGGTAATAAAAATCATAGCGAAAATACCGTTTTCCTCGATTTATTGTTTGTCACAAAGTGACAGCAGCTGTTGGATACAGTGGGACATGTGTCCTCGTTCATTTTGGAAATTGCGTGACACGCAACTTTATTATTTCTTGGGGTTAAGACACGAAATTTGCCCCCAAAATCTAGATTTTGTTTTCTACGTCCACGTTTGAATTTTAAAATTCATTGCATTAGTCGCGCAGAAGTACAAAAAGAAATTACCAAATCCGACGCATCAAGAGAAATGCTTTCATCAATTTGTCATTTAGACAAGGAAAATTTGACAGGAAATGAGCGCACTAAAATATGATTTAACAACGCCGTTTTTATTGCAGTACGTTCTAAACTTGAAAGCGTGAAATCTATTTTATTTCTCATTTTATGTCATGTACGGCACGAGCTAAAAATGAAAAATATTTCTTTCAATTGTAATTGCTGTAATACAAACTACCCCCCAGGAGTGGGTAGTATCGAAAAATTCCGGCGTGCAGTGTTTTTGAGTTTGAGAAGCCCCACTCTTTCTAAAACTTGCGAAACAAAGTTAGTTAATTTCTAATATCTACGTCAAAAATATCACTTCACATTAGTTTTCGAACCGGAGGAAACTGCAACGTGAAAATATTTGAACAAACTTGAAAAGTTCAAACTCGAAGCTCGTGCCGGTTTACGGAGTTTAAATATCACTAAAAATCCGTCTGTCGAATAACAAATACCTGGGGATATTAAAGTTGCGCCTAAGAAGAAAATAATTTTACTCGACAATTCGCTTTTATGTTACAACATAAACAAAAGCAATTAAATTAGTTATAAGATATTACTTTTAAAATGCGTACCCTCTGATTTTAAATTTAAATTTTCTATTTGCATAAATAAAAAGCGCCGCGTTCTTTTCGGTTCCGTTACATCCCCTGCAGACATTTTGAATTGCTTTAACTACGAAAATATTGCAAAAAGCTATACATTTTTGATTTCGCAATCACCTTGGAAAAGATGGACAAAATGTGCCATTGGAAAAATTGTGGACATTCCATTAGCTACCACAAGTTCTTTTTTTAAATCAGCAACGCAATGTTTCAATTATCAGAGGAGTTAGTGGAGATTTCCCGTTTTGATTGAAGGTGATTTAAAGAAATTCATTGAGGAGATGCAGTGAGCTTTGAAGATTCGAGCGGTTTGGAGGTAGTTTGAAAACATTTTGCGAAATCCAGAAGGAAATTCAAGGGAAATCCTAGTCGATTAAGAAGAAGGAACCAAGACGATTCGAAAACGGAAAATATTTGGTTACACCCTTTTTTTTAAAACTAAGTACACAATCGAGAAAGGTGTAAGGACTATACAAAAGGCGGGTTCAACCATAAAATACATACTTTTATTCTGTCTATCGGTCACACTGGAAATTTGATTTACAGCCATAATCGACCTTTCCAAATCAAAATAAAATAAATGCAAGATGCCGCTAATTCCGTAAATGTTTTCAAATAGAAACGTATACCATTTTCTATTTTTTTTCTCAATGCGCCATTATATTCTGAATTCAACGCATTTAATATTTGCCAAACATCTGCCATATTTTTGTTAATATGTCAATTTTCAATTTTCCTCGAAAAATTTGGAGATGTACGGCTCTCGTCAAAAATTCACATCTCTTAAACCGTACCGCACATAAGTGAGTGCTCTTTTTTATAATCGAATTCTAAGGAATTTTTTGAGTGGCCGCTGAGAATCTTGAAAAAATTTCCAGAGCTGCTGCGATTTTTCAAAATTGGCTTGGACTGACAATTTTGAAGCAACCCTGGACATTTTTTCAAGATTCTCAGCGGCCACTCAAAATTCATTAAACTTCAGTGTTTAAAACTACTATTTTTGATGCTATAAATTAATATAGATTTGAATTTTAGGGCTACTTCTATTAACACTCTGCCTATATCCGGCCGTTTTTGAGTTATTGCTATTTTTTGAAAGAAATATTCCTGTTTTTTCATTACGTGTGGTAGGCTTTGGAACCGGTCGGTTCATTTAAAATGTCATTAGAATCAAATGTCAAACAGTGTTAGTGTTCAAATTAATTCGTCTAATTTTCACTGACTCTATATCCACATAATGCTGTTAAGATATAGAATTTTTGGTCACTGTCGGGCTTTTTGTGAGAACTAAGAATACCAGGAGAAGAAGAAGAAATTAACGCTCTGGGATATTTTGAAACATATCCACGCGCTGCCATCAGAACAGCATCGTAATTTTTTACACAAAAAACAATTGGAGGGACGAATCAAAATTTGGCAACAGGGGATGATTAATCTAAGAAATCCGCATTTTTGAATTTGCGCAAATCCCCGTCTTGTAATAATGTAATGAACGCTTGCATCTCTTGCAAATTTTTGGCATTTGTTACTAAGATAACACTGTTAGACATTCGGTAATTGGTTCGAATGACATTTCAAAAAGGGTTGTTCGCTGATGTAACTTCAGTTCCAGTGTTTTCAGCGATATTTTGGATTAATGGGGTTCTCAACCCCTGATGAATCTTTCACCGAAATGCTGAAATAAATCTATGCAGACTTATAAAGCTATCGAGTCAATTCAATTGTGTAGCTAACAGCATTGTTTAAATACATTAAGACATAATTGGATGTAGAAATGCATCATAAGACTTAATGAAAATCAGTGGCGTATCATACACTGCTAAGATAAATATGTTTAATTCGATATGAGGTCCGTGTTTTTCTTGAAATTTGATTTGATTAATTACGCTAATTGAGTGAAGACCGCTAATTAAAGATGGACAGTCCGTTTCACTTATTTTACTAGCCATTTTATGAAATACTGTAAACAAAACAAAAAGTTAATGAAGCAATTTTAAAAGCATTTTTAATTGCAATGGGCGGTGTACGTTAAGTGACTGAATGCGAGTGTGTCATACGATTTGATAATTAAATTGAGTAAGGTCATCGATTACTAAAGGTCTCTGGGTTGTATGTTTGTAAATTATAATTACGCGCAATTTACAAATAGACAATGCCACTATAAAAAATAAACGATAAACGCGATATCGATTAGTTTTCCAGGTAATGACATCCCGCATTTTCGACGCTATAATTTCCACATCCATTAGGGTTGTTTGTCCAAGTCTAAGAAATGAAATTAGCGGCGGCGGTCGCCCTTATTTTAACGTGAAACACTCATCAATATTCACTCTGTCAAATTTCCTACATAGGTTTTCCACTAATCGATTTTGTACAAAAAATAACTTACAAGTTCGATTACCACGAATTAATGAAATTAAAGAGCAACGGCCCAAAGATGGAACAATGAGGGACACCATTCGAAAAACTATGCTGACCCTATGTCCTTTGGTGCACTTCCTGCTGGCCGTTCCCACGAACTGCATTTGAGCGCCACCAGCTACCTTGCAAGTATCAAGTACTGATACATACTATGCATTTTTATTGCATTCGGTCATCGTCTACTGCATTTATTCATGGGCCGTTACTGACGTAAATTGCTTATTCAGTCGTTGGAAACTAACTACAGATTTAATTGTATATTGTGTAACTGAACGTCTGGGTATGAAAACGTCTCCATGTTTTTAACGTAGGTAATTGACAATCCACTGAGCAACGACCTTGTACACCACGTTAATAGCACCAATGCTGTGATTTGGGAAAAATTTACTACAAAGCTTCTGATTACATAAACTATTTTGATTTGCATATTTCGTATAGTACCTTTATTATGATTAAACGTGCGCCACTGAATTGCTCCTCCGGCAACAATCCACCCCCACCCATAATGGCGCAGTTAAGATCCATCTTCAAATTTAGCTTCTAACATCAAATTTGATTATTAATATCAATAAAATAGTTAAAAATTCTCGCGGAACAGAATAGTTGTGCACCAATTCCCAGCAAACTCGGTCACCAGGGGGGTCTCAATGATCTCTACCAAAAGATTCAATTCTACATTTGTGTTATTCCCGCCTTTCCGTTTTGTTGGTTGGGGTGGTATCTTAAGTTATAACCAATTTTGTCTAAGAAACGGCAAAATACGGATAGCCTGCAAAGGGGCAACTATCTTCACATTATGAATAAGACCTGCTGTAAAAGAGATAATCTACGTACCTACTGTAGATAAACAATTTTCAGTAGGGAAATGTTTTCACACCCAGCTCGCCATCGGAAACACTACTTCTGATCATCGAACTTATAGAAATCGATCTTTTCGTTCTTGAGTTAGAAGAGGAACACACGGACGGACGGACAAAACCATCACATTAGGGGAATTTCTTTCGAAAAATTCCCTTAAAAATTATTGCATTGCCTAGACACCGCTACTAATGTGATCACTAATCAATTACGAGTTGATTTAAATTAAAGATAACCAAGCGCAAAACCCTATGACATTTTTTCGTAGCTTTTATTTTTGTGTGGAGAAGCAGAAAAACTATTCAATAGAAATACGTGATTTCGCTAACTGGCATTTACAGCTTAACAAATTGTTCGACCTAAAAAGCGAAGGCATTGCAGGAATTTGCAACCACATCATAATTAGCATTTTGTGTTTTAAATGTTTCATTAATTGCACGTACTGGAGAGGTCTCGGGCCTCGGCGATAGTCAGTCCACAGAATTTATTATTTATTGGCGCATTGTGTGGGGCGTATCCACTGAGTTTAATTCCAAGCAAATACATTGCAATTAAATAAACACAAAATTACATGTAATGCCCCTCGAGAGCTTAATCGATCAGTCTTAGTATCAATTTGGGTTCTTTGCCTAATGACAATCTGTAAGAATATACAAACGGGCGGCCATTACAATTTTGTAAAGTATAACTTGGCTTTCATATCGAGAAGGGGCGGTCTTGGACCTTCTAAAATTCGTGTCGAGATTTTGGTAATCTAGATGTTATATTCTCGCGATACGCAGCTCAAACGGTAAAAAATGGGCTAGCCCGGTCCATTAAAATTTTGATTTCACGACTGTACCCAAAAGAGGCAACTAAACTCAGTATCGTGATCATGCAATTTGTGCCTCAGTTGTAACGGTTGGTGTAGTAGTGATTTTTGCTCGTAGTCTGATTATTGGTTTGTTAGTCTTCGTGAGCTGCCAGAATTTGCACGATAGCGGCAAGATGGCGATTTTGTAATTTGGTTGGTACTTGAAAGTTATTGCGTAATGTGAAATTGGTTAAAAATCGGGACATCCGCTTGGTTGGTTTGGAGAAAACATCTGGATTTACATGTATAGCTGCATTCGTAGAAGGAAGTCCCTTTTTTTGGTGTTCGTAAGTTGGGTGGGATGGGGGTGTGTTTACTTGATTCGGCGGCCTAGTCAGAGTTTGTATCGTGGCCCTGGGGTTAACCTAGCGGTTCCCTGTTTATACAATTTCTATTATTATTTGCATGTTCTGTACATAGATTAATATATTAATCAATATTTATTGCATTATACTGGGAGTTTTTGTTGGCTGTACAACTAGTGAAGTTATTATGTCGTGTATGATTGTTGGTAATTGTGTCTGTGAAAGGATCCTTTGGAGTTTGGAAACTGAAGGTGTCGTCTGGATTTTTCAACAGCTACGGTCCGGCTCCCGGTATATTCAGCAGTGGTGGCGCCCACATTTATTTGTTCTGTCTCAGGCAACTTGAACGTTGTCGTAGGTTCAGGGTTTCGAGTCAACTTGGAATCCATCCCGTCTCCACTGAGTTAGTGACAGGGGGCGCTGCTGAACACCTATAGATATAGAGAGGTGGTAGCGCCAGCGAATTTAATTGTGTGTTTATTCTGATTCGCATAAAAGCCAAGTTAGCGTTGCACAGAGCTCGAGGGAACTGACCTCCAAAGCCAAAAATCTAATCACTTCTTCCCCATCATGGGGTATCTACATACTAAATTTATTTTTTATAGAGTAGCTTTTAGGGGCAATCGAGGGAAGGAGCTTCCTTCCGATACCCTACATGATTTACCCAAAATTTGCAAAGAAATATGCATTTTTCGAGGTAACTAACTATTTAATTTGGTCTGGATGTGCTGTTATGTGATGGTAATGAAACCCCTTCTAAAAATATGTTTATTGTTCCAAACTGGATTTCGTTTACTTTCGTGCACGCTCGAAATGCATTTCCAAATAGCAATTCTGGTAATATTTCATCAAGTCGTCAGTATTGCAAAAAAATGAGAATCCATTCGATAGTTTATTTATAAGCGTAATTTATTACGGGAAGCGGTGGGCGTCGCGCATTTTCATGCCATATTTCTCATTTATGTATTTTCCGAGATTTGCGTACGCAAAATATTTTATTTGTCGTACGGTTCGCTTAAACAAAGTAATTTTTCACTTTCAACATTTTTCTGTCGTAAATTTCGTAGAATTGTTTTGGGACGGGATTGTTTTGGTTCCGCTTTTCTTGGAAAATCGAACATCGATGCATACTTCGTGTAAATTTAGAACAAGTACAAATTCCATAGATATGGTTTATTTAAACGTAATTGTGTATTATGTTATTTATGTAAATGATATAGGTAGCTGACTTTACTGAACAATATAAATTTTTTATCACATCGCAGAATTTAGACTAAAGTTGCCATGGATTTTGCAAAAAAGTTGGATCGATCGAGGTATATATTTCGATATTCTGTGGACTCAAAAAAGAAACATTGTTTGCCGTGTTCTAAAAAATATTAGCTATAGGCTTTCCAGCACATCACCACCTGAACTATACAGGGGGTAGCATCTAACGCCCCTCGGAACACAATTCCTTTATCATAAAAGATATCGAAAAAAATGTGGGGGCAAAATTGTGCCCAATTACAAAGTTTTTTATTTTATTGAAGAACTAGAAAGTACTTGAAGGGTATGTAACATTATACTTTTGCTGTTCTAACCTTTTTTCCTCAAAATTTGACGGTTTTTCGAATTTTTTTTATCACAGAAACTAAATCGCGCCGGCCAAAATTAGAAACTTTAAAGAAACGATTTCGTACTAGGGGGTTTTTGGGGTGGCCGATGGCGAATCCGATGTCAAAATTACAAAATTCAAAAAGACCAACTCTAATATGGCGTCATATGATTCGAAAAATTTGAACTTTTAAGGAAATGATTTGCAATTACGTACTAGGGAGGTTTTTGGCGTCGCTGATTACGAATCCGCTGTCAGGATTGCAAAAGTGCGTCCGCGTTCCAAAAGTTTGTAATTAAAAGAAAAGTTAGTAATTATAAATAAATGTGCGAAAACAACAAACGTTTTTGAAATTGTTTCAAAAATTTTAATTAAGGTTTAAAGGCAGCATCTGACAGCGTGTTATTACTGTTTCAATTAACAAATTGAATTTTGTAAAAAAATACCCTTATTTCTAGAAATTTTCTGTTAACTTTTTACGTAATTTATTACCCTCGGACGTAGATTCCATTTAATTTTGTTGAATTTCCTTTACTTCAAGCACTTTCACATGTTTATTTCTTTCCCTTTGATGTTGTGCTTGGGCGAAGACCACATCCGGGCTGAAACCTTTGGAACCTTTGCCAAATGTCATTTTTTTTTAAATTTCAAATGGCACCCACAACTTATAACGGTGGAAAGCCGAAACTCCACATTTCTACGGATACTAAAAAAACTACACATTCCATAAGAAAATTTCCGAGAAAAAAACGATTCGAAACGCCAATTTGTAGAAAAACTTCCCTTTCGAACCCAAGTCTTCAATAAAATATGACATTCGAAGGTCAATTAAAAATAGGCATAGGAATTAAGATCCGGAATATTATTGTATTCTGCTTGTACTACCTATGTGTATAAAGTATAAAGGGGGGGCATTTTAGCATTTTTGATGCCAAAGTGGATGTTGATGGGTGCGAATATTTTGCAAAATGATTAGGAAATAAGGCTCACGTGCGCAGTGGATAATTCGTAAATAAAATAGACACACTGCAATAGCAACGGATATTTTGCATTAGCGTGACGTACACGTAAATTGTTATGTGGTGTGTATGAATAGCAAATAACGACCAACAGCGTGATTCATCTAATAATATAAACAAATTTAATGTCTATCCGACATTAGTATCATTTACATCCATAACGAGTGACTAAAGATGATCTAGGTACTTCGTACGCGTGACACTGTATACTTTTTTAAGAACTGAATACCGCCTTTTTGGTACCATTACGAAATATAATAGGTTTGCATGATGAACTAACTCAATTTACGATCAATTCTTCGACAAACCCAGGAATTAATTACATACATCGGACGGGGAAAATTATAATGCGGATGCAAATAATTTCTATATAACCGGGGTATAGAAGGTACAACGACCATTGTTAAATGACATTCAGGAACCGTTATAGCAAACACAAATTTGACGTACACTCAATAAGGGAATGATGTTATACATAAATCAATTA